ACCACCACCACCACCACCACCAAGACCACGACCAAGACCACGACCACGACCACGACGACGACAACGACAACGACAACATCAACAACGACAACACTAATATTGGGACAATATAGTAATCATTGTAAATGCATCACGCCGGCCGTAGGAAGCAGAGGTCTCCAAATCAGCCCCAACGGCATCCCTGTGGAAGCTTCCAAGCCTCCAAGTTATCAGGAACGTAGTAGCCAGCCACGTCCCAGACAGGAATTTTAAGGCTTGGCAGTGCAATGTTGGGGACCAGAATCAGCAACGAAAGCAAGATTCCGCAATACCGACAACTTTTCAACAGTACCGACATAGACATAGACCAAAAGATTTGCAATATTCCTGATATTAGAACCATGAATGCGTTATAGACGAGTTGAGGCCAAAAACATGGTCACGTAATGTTTGTCATGCCGGCAAGACTCGTCATGTGCAAGAGACGGCTGCACGGCCCCTGCATGTGTTTTGCGAACCACTACCATGGTTTTTTCTGCACATCTCCAGTCGGTTTGTCTGCGAGCCTGCCAAAGGAGCAGTACACCGCGCGCGGAGTGAAATTTGTGAAAGGCCTGGTCCGCGGATTTGTGGTGGAACCGGTTTGGGTTTGCCCAGTGGGGTGCTTCAAGCAATACCAGTATGTCCTAACATGCAGAAACATTGATTTAAGGGGCATGGTTGCAAGATCATTCAATCCTTTTGAGCATCGGTGCAAACTGTGAGGCACGCGTCGTCATGCCTATCAGTTTGTTGTCACTTGAGAAGCTTTGCGAACGGTTCGTATCCGAAGCGAGAGAACTCAAGCCAAAGCCCTCGTATATACATCGTGCGTCTCGAATTCACAAGCAGATTGTTCCAACCCAGAAGCACCATGGTACAAGCATTGCACGAGTTTTGCACGCAGTCCTCCTGCAGCTTACCAGAACTTGTTGAAAGTCAAAGCCACCGCTGCTGCATATTTGCAGCCCAGCTACGGCATGAGATCCACTGGGGTTCGCATTAGGGTTTTCGAGATCCTGGAACGCACAAGTCTGTTCAACAGCTCAGTAGTTGTCCAATCGTCGCTTTATGTGACGTGCAGATGCTTGCATCATTGAATTTTGTTCCATCCTTATCGCCAGTTGCAGTCAAACCTTGCCATCCTGACAACGCATGTTGGCACATCGGTTCTTGCGCTAGATTCAAGTTATCTGTGTCTGAACCCTGAGTCGTTTTACCCCATGATTGATGCCCCTGTGGTTCCGTTGACACCTGATCCCCAGGAGATCAGGTGACCGAATTCAGCGGTGATGGGGGCACGCTATCGGGGCTGACCCTCAAGCTGCCGGCTCAGAGGCTCCGATTCTGTCTTCGGGGCTTCGGGAAGACGCGAGGAAAGCAGCTCAGGTCTGGGACCAAGCTGGAATGCAATCTGGCTGTCGTCGGCATTGGTGCCGCCCCGAATGTTGAGTTCTGCGAAGGGTCCGAGGCTTAGGAGCTCACACGAGCCAGGCCTGAAAGAAGCTTCCACCAACGCCTCCCAACAACGAAGCTGAAGTTGCGACTTCGAGTTGGCGTATTGTCACTTAGCGAAGGTGCTCTCAAAGTCTGCCTAGTCTAGTGCGAGAGTTGCGAAAGCCGCATGCAGCATTGAATAGCCATCCCGAATGCTCAAGTCGGTGTGAGTTGGTCGTGTCAGCTGTTCGCCTCAAGCATCTTGAAACGAAAGGTGAAAATGAGGTTGAGGTTGCCTTGCCTGTTTGTCGTGCCATTACGGTGGAGAACACTCTGACTCCTCCAGGCTAAAGCTTGAGCAACGGGGCATCGTCGTCGACGCCAACATGTGAGGTTCCTAGACTGGGCCTACAAAGGCCAGGGCCCAGGGCAGCGTGAAGCAGGCGCCGACTTCATCTTAGTCAAGCTGTGAGGAGGCACATCTTTATTAGTTGTGTCCAGTTGTGCGCGCTGTCTTTTCCTTACGATCATGAGACGGGGAGCTGAGGCAGACGTCCACTCCCGGTGTTTATGCGGTCGGCCATGGGCCAAGATGGCGATCGCTGTCTTGTGAAGCGAAGCTCAGAAGGGTCCTTGGGGCTGGGGGATTCGATTGTGCTTGATCACTGCGACCAGTCGCTGTGGTCATGTGTTGAAGATGCCCCCAAACTTACGAGCATAAGTTTAAGGCTTCCACCTGGGATTGAGCTGATTTGCTTATCCCCCTGTCAGGTGATATCGCCACGTTCCCTTCCAAATACGGTGGCCTGATGCGGTGTGAGAACGTGGCCTGATTGCATCAGACTGGAGAAAGCCCGGTGCACTAGATTGGTGGTTGCAGAGTGAGTCACCCGGTCGCTGATAAACCGTCTTCCAGGGAGTGGGGAGTTGGGAGCAATTGGCAATCTTCCATGCCCGGTCGCCTATGGTTCAGCCTTGATGCGGTTCCTTAGTGTTGTGAACTTGACGAATGGGGAAAGGAAGCCATCAACAAACCTCATGATGATATGTCCGTGTTTGTTACTCCCCGCCTGACTTCATACGGATGAGTCCCTTGAGTATTTCGTGTCCAGGTTCAGCTAACCCCCCTGCTGCCTCAGGTCGACCATGCCCGGAAATCGGCATCACAGGCGCGATCTTGCTTCCAGCATGTGTGCTACAGGATATCGTGTCGTGTGCAATCATAGCACACTATGTATGTATTATATATATATACACACACACAAATGTGTGTGCGTGTGTGTGTGTGTGTTTGTATGTATGTATGTGTATACGTACATACATACATACAGACAGACAGACAGACATACATACATACACACATACAAAATTATGTATATACTCGTATGTACACATATATACGTATATATAGGTGTGTGTATATATGCATATATATATATGTGTGTGTGTGTGAGTGTATATACATGTATATAGATGTAGGTATACTGATGTACATGTGTATATATATATATGTCTGTATTATGCATGTCTGTCTGTCTGTCTGTCGGTCGGTCGGTCGGTCGGTCTGTCTGTCTGTCTGTCTGTCTGTCTGTCTGTACCTGTCTATGTACATATTTTTACATCTTCTTGAATGTATGCATATAACTGTGTATATGTATGTATATATGTATGTATGTATGTATGTATCTACCTACCTACGTACGTGCGTACGTAGGTAGGTATGTATGTATGCATGCATGTATGTATGTATGATGAGTGTATGCATATTGTAAGTGTGTATACTGTGCATATGAATGTCTCTGTCTGCCTGCCTGCCTGCCTGTCTGCATATATGTATGTATGTATGTATGTATGTATGTATGTATGTATGTATGTGTGCATGTACGTGTGGGGGTACGTAGGGTGATGTATGCAGGGTATGTATGTATGTATGTATGTATGTATGTATGTATGTATGTATTCATGCATGTGGGACATTTTCGTTTGAGTTCTTGTCCACTTGCTTCCCTTACTGTACCTTTCTCTGACGCAGCTGATGCGTGCTTTTTGCCCTCAAAGTCTGCCTAATTAAACCTAGCGCTCCATGGCTAGTAAGGCCGTCTCGTTGAAGGTTTTCCTTCCTGTTTCGCATGGTCTGTTCTTCTGCTCAAGTCTCCGAGACAGCGAATTTATGAATGCTCTCATCTAGGATGCTCTTTCTGAACTACTGCAGGCTGTGAAAGCTGCCATGGGGGTAGAAGCCCCTCCCTATACGCCTGGGCCCCAGAGAGACAAGACGAAAATGAGAATCTTGGCTTCACGATACTTTTTCTGGCAAATCTCAGTCCTGCGCCTGCTACAAGCTTCGAGATCCAGGGTTCTTAAACCGGTGAGTTCTTATGACTAACAATTACCAATAATCTATCACTCGCATTGCTGCATCTGCTGAACGGAGTTGCGGAAGCGCCCGTTGCCATCATGGTTCTTCAGGTATCTCCCGTACTTCTACACCAGGGTCTTCGAATACACGGACGCGCCCATTGTGTTCAACTTCTTCGGAGACCAGTCAGCCCCGCATCCATTTGCAAGCACCGAGGGGGACTGTTTGGGCTTGGTACAGCAAAGCAAAGGGGCAAAGGGATCCGCAGGGTGTCGCAGACGATGAAGTTTGCATCTTCTATATCATTCAAATCTCCGCCGCGAAGTCAGGAGCAAGCTTCTTAGATGAAACCGTCGAAGACCGCCAGGATGTCCTAGTACGTCAGATAAGTTCAACATTGGGGCACTGTGAACAAGGCCGGCTTTTTCAGTCTTCAGGTCCGAGAGTCTCTAGGAGAGGCCCCTGGAGCCATTGGAGCCATGGATTCTGCATCGCATGGACGCGGTTCGGTGTGCGCCCGATCCTTGGACGAGCATCTTCGAGCCATACTCGGCGAAAGCTTCAATGTGCTGTTACTCAGGCGTCGCTTTGGCACGGCTGGCCTCTTCTCAGAAGGGCACTTCCAAATCGTGTCAAAAAAAATGAGCGGCTTCGTTACTTGTATTGTCTCGCTTTGCTTCTCCAGCCATGCAGACAGGTGACTGAGCTGTCGTAGTTGAGATGGTATGGCGAAAGCGCTTGTCACTGTACATCACGAATTCGACAGTCCCCCACGCTACGGTGAAGACTTAAACATCTAAGTCACTTGTCGACGCCACAGTGATCTGACGTCAAAGCCGACAGCACCGCTGCGTGAGCTCGATGGTCTGTTGAGCTCCTGGGTTGAAGCAATGCTGGCTCAAGTGCAGCGTTTTGACTGCAAGTGGAATATGAATGAGGGTGAACTCGATTCTGCCACTACTATTGCAACATGTTCAGTGAGAGGAGGAGGGGCACTTCGATGATGCTGGAAACAAACCAAAGTCACGGAACACAAGAATGGAAGCTCGACAAGGGGAGCCTTCTGGGCATGAACTGATAGCACAGTTTCGCCAAAGCTTTCAAGTCACAACTGAAGCACTTTGTGTGGGCAGTTAGCCCTCCTTTACTGCAGAGTCTTAGTGCGACCTTCGTTCGTGATCGCACCATGCTGGACCCCAACCAGCGGCAGATGATTTTCGCCAAGTTTTTGGAAGCTTGGCAGTCATTTTGAGAGGTCCGGGCACATGCTCTCTCTGTGCGTGTCGACATCACAGTTCTACCTCAATTTGGCAACTATCAGTCGCCTTTCGGGCCTGGACAAAGGATGCATCGTGGCAGATCTTCCGGAGTCAGATGCTTGAGGCACCGGCCCGGGCAGACACTCTGAGGATGCGATGTTCCTTGCGAGACCTATGTTGTCCAAAGACTCGACCACCCTAGAAGCAAAACCCACAACTCGACAGATACCGAAGTTCACCCGTTCAGGCAGTTGTGGCACAGACGATCGCCAACTTTTCAAAGTAGCATACGGCCTGTTCAGTCGTGCTGATAGTGGCATCTCTGGCTCTTGCAGGCCTACGCAGAAACCGCATTGTTGGAGGCACCTCAGGAGCCGGCGACAGAGTATAGGGCCGCTTGAGGTTCCCAGAAGGGGTCTCAACTCCAGGGAGACAAAGGATGCTCTCAGCTGAGGAGACCCTTCCTGCGCTCAAAGCGCGTGTGAGGAGCCTCGAAGCAGAGGTGGGGCCCCGACCCCCTACAGGATCCTCCGGTCTGAAGCTTCTGCACCCCTGACAGGTCTCGAAAGTTTGCCCCCTGGACAGCATGATTCGACTGCTTGTAGTCATGTGTTGGAGTGAGAGCCTGCAGTGGCCTGGAATCCACTAGGTCACTAGGCACTGTCCGATGAGTCACAGAGAGCAGCTGCCGACTTCGATCGCTGAGGCGAAGTCACCAGACGAGAGCTCGAAACTGGCCAAGTTGTCGAGCGGTACGACCACAGCTTTCTTCCTCCCAAAGAGATGCCAGGCTGCAGTGGAGGAAATCAATGATGGGGCTGAGCCGACATAGCTGGCGAGCCAGCGTGAACAAGACAACTGACTTGCAGCCTCCTTGCTGAACCTTCCCTCCTCCTACAGTTCTAAGCACTGAACCCGAACCAAGGAGTCGGCAAGTGGAGCTGCTGTATGCACGGTCAACTGGCAGCGACTCGCCGAAGGCTCCAACCCCCAAGGCAGCTACAGGGTCTTGGCGGTCTTGGGGTTTCGATGTGCACGGTGGGACGCTTGGATTCCTGGGCTTTCGGCATCCTCCCAGTCTGGGAGACCATCAGCTATCCAGACCTGGAGTCATTGAGCCATTTGCCGGCTGGAACGTGGGAGTGCCTCGCAGGGTACGCTCTTCTTCAGCTACATGCAACAGAGCTTGTGCTGATGGCCTGGACAGAGTTGAGGATGAATCGTAAGAAGCCTCTGGGTTGACCGGACGATCCGGATCAACCACGACTTTGTTGCTCAGACCCAGCGCCGCTTTTGCTAAAGGCACCGCTTGCACTCCACTGCAGGCCGCTTCGGTCATGGAGCCCTTAGAAGAGGACACCAACATGTCGGATCAAGTGGTTGCTCGGAAGCTACAGAGGAGGTTCGGTAGGTCCAGCGCAGGGGTGGGGTGGCTCAGGCCTGCCACGCAGTATCCTGTGCTTGTGATGTCTTCCGACTGATCAGTCAGGGTCCGAAGGCCTTCCAGGGTTTCGGGCCGCGAGATGTTGTACAACTAGTAAAGCATGTTGTGGACACCGGATAAAACCTTCCCCTTTAGCGGGCGAGGATGTCGATGTCGGATCAGGTCTCGAGCCCGGTAGGAGCCGGACATCCGGCAGACATCGTCATCTTAGCCACAGCACGTCGTGGATTCAGAGCTGAGTTCTACGCGAGTGTTTCGCAGTTCACGGGCCCCCGCAAGACTGCTCAGATGAGCGACATTCAATCAGGTGTGAGATGCTCCTCGTACCTTCTCCCTGATTTGTACTTTAGGCGGGCGGGTGACTTCTATTGAAATCTGTCGTGAAGTCTTTCATTCTAGTCTAGTGGATGGGATTTAGGTTGTGACGACATTTGGGGATGTATGTGTTATGATGTTAAGCAAATGAGCCGGCAGCCAAGGTCTCCCGGCAGAACACGGCCGGGGAGAGTGTCGTAGACCAAGAGGCCATCTGCAACTTGCCGCATTCGCAGAGGGGAGCTCCATGGTGTCTAGAAATGCTTCGTGCCCCTGTGGCTGGATACTCGTGCAACGCATTGTGTGTGTTTTGCGTATGGCATACAAAAGCTTGGTACTTTGACTCATGGCTGGCACAAGATTCTCTGGGTGCCGAGAATCAATCTGCAGTTTTGGACTGGCATAAACACCAGGCAAGGCTCTACCAAGGATTACCAACTTCCCAAACCTGGAGCAATCGATATCGCTGTATGATGCTGAAGCACTGAAGTTCTGACAACCGGCAGACCTGACACTCTTCACGTGGGTTAATTAAGTTTTGCTATTTCAGAGTGTCACCTGGCTTCAACGGAAGTCATCAAGGCTTTCTAGCAATTACGAAGCCTCGAGCATTTGCAGGTGGGTAGCCAAGTCGCCGCGGGCGATGGGGATCCCTTGCTACATCGCGAGGACAGTGACAGCCGCTGGTTTGCACAGGATTGCATCAGCAAGCAGACACGGGAGAAAAACGCAAGAAGCTAGAGGTCGCATGAGGAGCCGGTTCGCAGATTTGGCACAGTTTCAGCTTTCGGACGACGATTTCCAGAGCTGCCTTCTCGTAGAGTCTGAGGAGGCTGAAGATAGCTGAGGAGGCTAAACAATGCACCGAGCACGCCCTCAGGTGCACTACACGGCGTTCGACAAAGACTGCAAGTGCGATTGGGGGCAATGTCTTCAAACAAGCTGATCACAGGAGGGCGAGGGATGTCAGTGCTCGGGGTGGTGGAGCAAAGCGACTGCAACAAATGTGGATTTCGCAGTCATAGTGGATGATGCCTGTCTATGCTTACAGAGCCAGCAGAGTGATTCGCCCGGGGCCAACGCCGGAAGAGTCGTCAATGAGCCAATTTGCGAGACCTTTGCCGTTGCGTATTCTAGCTGTCGTAGACTCATGATAGAGGGTGGAGCAGCAGTAGTCGTCGTCGTCGTCGCTGTTGTCTTCGTAACACTACAGAATGTGGTTCAGAGAAAGGTCGCAGTATTGACAGCGGATCAGGGACCGTGGCTTTGGCGACTGTAGGTTCGTTCAGGGCAGTCCAGTAAGTTCATTTTGTTCTACCCACACTACTGTTGCGACCAACGGTATGTTTGACTCTGTACAATCTGTCGGCTTCGATGGTGTACTTCAAGCTCTTCGTGTCTCCACATGACTCAGCATCATCTGTTAAACGTATGTGTGCTGCTCCTTCCCGCTAGCAACACCAGCTCGAACGCTTGACATCTGTTGCTCCCGGAAGCAGCAACTGCACAACTCCGCAGGAAAGATATTGGTCAACACTGTGGAAGCGTTTCTTGGAAGCTCTCAAAAGCCCATGAGGCATCGCGACGGGACTAGCGATCGCTCAAAAGAATAGTGACACTGGCTTGGGAGTTCCGCCATCTCCCCGACCTTCGTCCCGCCTGGTGAAGCCTCGCATTTTTGGCCTATCGAGGTTCGGTGCAGTCCTCAAGGTGGACTTAAGCTAGCACAAGACGACTACGGGTTGTCGGCGTTTACAGACGTTTGACAATGCTAACGACCCATGTCGAGCAAGTGCTGAACGGCCGAGTTGAACTGCAGTCTGAACATTTTCTGTAGCTCCTTGCGAGCTAAGGCTGGGCTTGACCACGTACTCCGAGGAGGACATGAATCAGTTTGTCACGCAACTGTTTAAGTCAGTTTCAGAGGCTTAGGCGTTGTCCGATTTTAGACGAAGCCTATCGGAGCGATGGCCAGCCGGGCCTAACCTGGCTTAACACAGGCATGGCAGCACAGCGTACATCAATCTCTCCGTGTCCACATGGTTACATCTTCCTGGCTTGCTCTTTTTTGGGCATTGCGAAGGCTCTTTCCTTTGCTCCCCGTCCTCAGCCCTTTGAGGTGAACACGCTTGCCGATTATATCGACTTGCGCTTCGTCAAGAAGGCCGATTGTTTTTGTTCGCTGTTTCCTGCAATCCTCGAAGCACAGCTTGCTTAGAGCCAGTTCCGGAGCTCTGCGCCTGCATGCCTCCAGCGGACCCTGCAGGAAGGGAAGAATGGCTTCAGAAGAAGTCATTCTTCCAACAACGTGTTCCAATTCCAGGACTGCCGAGAGTCATGTTACATCATGCTACTGCAGCAAGAGTGCTGTTTGCACTGCTTCAACTTTTAAGAACCTTTATCTGTGCATTCTGCATGGCCTCCATGACTCTTTAAGTGTTAACCCTTACTGCAAGAAGCGTTGAGGATCCGGATTTCCATTCTGTCAGAGGATTGCTCAACAGCCGGCACACTGGCCGGAAATGGCACACCCTAGTACTCGTATTTAAAGCACATTCCTAGGGTAGACGCCCCTGCATCCACAGAGCTACCAGTAGAGAAGGAAAGACACAGGTGCGGCGCGGCGAGAGAGAGGCGGACAGAGAGCGAGAGAGAGCGGTGAAGGCAGCAGCGAGTGCCAAGCCAGACCACGATGTCGCTTTCGCGACAGGGCAGGGGTGCGCTGTGCTCCTGTCTAATGCCCTGCAGAAGAAGAAGAGCGATATGACCCTGTGCTGAGTCATGTGCTGCCCACAAAAGGCTAAACGGGCACGCACCGCACGGGCAGGTGGGACTGGGACTGCAAGGAAAGAGCCCCATGATGTCTATACATACATGTATGTAAGATAGCAAAATGCATCCGAGACAAAGACAGGCAGATAGACAAACAGACAGACACGCACCCGCCTGCACGCCCGCCCACGTATATAGATCCGCAAAGAGAATGTTGTGAAGCTGTGTGCGTCTGCTGCAACCTGGCAAGTAGCACACAGAGCAATGTGATACACATGCACATGTTGTATGGGCATACACGCATGCACACATACCTACACACGTACATAGGACCATACATTCGTACACACGTATATTATTGATGTAGGAAAATAGATTTTTCGGATTGAGGAAGGTATGCAATATGTGTGCATGCTTGTATTTATATGTGTGGGTATGCATGTATGTAGGTATATATGTATATAGGTACACAATTACGTCTGGCAAATGTATACATACATATATATATATGTATATATTTATATATGATATTTATATGTACACTTATAAATATAAAATATACAACAGCATATACACATATATACATATATACATATATACATATATACATACATACATACATACATACATATATACATATATACATAAACATATATACATATA